TATTTCTCTTTGTTTACACACACAACCATTGAGCTTATTGTATTTGCATACATTGTATAATTGGGTTGTGGGATTGTGTGACTTAGAGAGTGAGCCTACATTGAGTTTTCATCTATTATAGAGAACAAATTTGTTACATTAAAAGTGTTGTAGAGTTTTCGGTTAACTAGAAAACCGTATTATGAGGTACGGAGTGTAGTCACATAGTGAGATTGTGAATGTTGATTGGTGAACATTGAAAACCGATATTGTGTGGTGTAAACGTTATTCGGGTGAGCGTAAAAAACCCGGTTGTGATAGTGGATTTCTCCTCGGGAGTGGGGAGTGGAGTCGTAGGACGGAAGGTCCGAACTCCGTGATCATATTGTGTGTTTGCATTGTTTATACTGCCCACTATCTAGTTTAGATTGTTTACCCTTGTGTCATTTATATATCCTTGCATGTATTTCACCATATATCTCATTGCTAGGATATATCCCTTGGTTCATATTACATATTCTTGCTCATAATATATTGTATATCTATCTTGTAAGAATAATTTATTAATAAGTTTTAATTATCATAAAATCAGATTAGATTAGCACAAGACCCTAATCACCCCCCTCTAGGGTCTAACAACTGGTATCAGAGCTTGGTGCTCTTTGATTTAAGGTCTAATCGCCTTGAGTTAAATATTCAAGTTATCTTTATGTGCTAATCTAATTTTTGATTTTTGTATCTTGCTTGCATACATACATTATGGATATGCATGGTGCACCTTATTTAGGCTATGCCATTAATATTGCTCCTTGTTTGGATAATTTCTCTTATGCCCAATGGTGTGTTAGATTTAAGCTATTTGTTGGATCTACACATTCTGATTTATGAGAAATTATAAATGATGCTTATATTATGCTCACTACGGAGAAATCCAAGTGGAATAAAAATAATCATCGAATGTTTACAATGAACAATATTTTCTTAGAATATTTGCTAAATGCTTTTGATTCATCTATGTCTAACAAGTTTTCTCATTTTGATAGTGCTTACAATTTATGGAAATTCATAGAAGCACATCAAGACAACTTCGAGGAAATCCGACACTGTTTGGAGGATTCTTCTTCAAGTGATATTGGAGCTTCTTCATGCACACGGCCACTAGGCGTTAGCCCTAGTGTGGTATGCAGTTCTGAATCCAATAATAATTTATCTAGTGATGAACTTGCTTGTGCATCTTAGAGATTATTGTATGCCTATAACAAATTGCATAAAGATTTTATTGATTTACAAAGCAAGCTTGATGTATTAGAATCCGATCATGAGAAATTAGCTTCCAAATTTAATATCATTACTCAAGAAAATGATGCTCTTAAAGAAAATAATGATATGTTAAATTTGAAAAATAATAATTTGAAATTGGATATTGCTAACTTGACTCATGACAAAAGTAATACCATGTTAGAAGTTGAGAACATAAAAAATAATACTGCTTATTTTATAAATGACTATTTATGTTCTACTTCTAATAAAAATGCATATGTTCCTAATAATGAAGATTTGAATCTTGTGAATAAACGCATTTCATCTTTAGATTCAACTTTGAAAACATGCATTAATAATCATAAGAATCTTATGGATATGTGTGTCAAATCTAAGTCAAAATCATCCACTCATTATGCACACATATATAACAAAGTTTATAAGTGTTCTATTTGCGGCCGAAAAGGCCATCTTACTAAATTTTGCTATGATGCACACAAACCTAAGAATGTTAATACTCCTTGTGCATCTCATGTAGCTTCATCATCATGTACACTTACACATTCACATGCTCATTCTCACAAAGTCTCCTTGTGCATCTCATGTAGCTTCATCATCATGTACACTTACACATTCACATGCTCATTCTCACAAAGTTCATCATAAGCATGCTAGTGTATGCTCATTCTCACAAAGTTCATCATAAGCATGCTAGTGTGGTCAAGTGTGATCATTGTGGTCGTTTTGGTCATTTGGCCGAATATTGTTTTGATTTGAAAAAGAAATCACATTTCCCAAATGCTTCTAATAGACCACATGTTTTTAAATGTGATTTTTATGGTAGGTTTGAACATCTTACAAAATTTTGTTATGATATACAAAAAGCTTCTAAGTTGTAATATGTTCCAAATAGACATTTGTTTAATGATGTTTCTCATTTGCAAAATAATTTTAAAAGACAATCTTTATTTGCAAATGATTCCCGTGCACGAGCTAATGGTCCACAAAAACAAATGGATCTCTTTCATTGCACAAATTACAATCGGAAGGGTCATTTGAGTGATTATTGCTTTGACCGTGTTAGTGCACCACATGTGCCCAAACGGGTTCATAACCCTAGGGCTTTAAGCTTAAATGATAAGCGTCATGTCCCTAAACTTTTTGGTACCAAGAATACTTGGGTACCAAAACAAATTTGATTTTTAAACCAAGAATTTTAGTGTTTTTCTTTTTCTTTTTTCTTTTTTCTTTTCCTGGTTTTGAAAATTATACTTTAAATTTTTGAACATGAAAACACTTCTTTTTATTGGACAAATTCTTTTGTTTTCATAATTATTAGTTTTGTTTTGATGAGAGGTTTGTATTTATATAACCCTCGGGTTTATTGGCTGTTTATTCCCAAATCTTGTTTACCGGGTACTAAAGTCCTTATATGAGTTAGAACAAGCTTAAGAGCTTGATATATTGTTACCTCTCTTGTATTTTGTCAAAAATTTTGTTTTGATTTATTGCTTTGAATTCATTATATAAGCACAAATAGATGATTCAAATTTCAAATATGCTTTATAATGTATTCTTTATGTGGTTTGATCAAGTTTTACAAAGAAATTTTTTTTTATTGATCTAACGTCATTTTTGGGCTTAAAATTTGATTTATGATTTCATTTGGTTAATTTGTTTTCATTTGAAAACTTTTTGCATGATTCTCATGTTCCTCTTATTTTGATTTCATAAATCTATTCTTATACACTATGTTTTTATAGTTGTGTAATGAGACACTTATTTCATAAGTAATACATCTTTATGTGTTCTCATTGTCTTTTTGTATGTGAGTGATATTTAGCATATTCATGTATGCTTGCTCACATGCTTGCCATGATCCTTTTATTGCTTATATTCTATATGGCTTTTTAATAGGGGGAGCAATCCCTATACTTGTTTGATACTCACCTATGCTTATTGATAGGGGGAGCTTTCGCTCTCTTAATTCTTTTGTCCCCTTTTTGTGTCATTCACTTGTCAGAGAACGACGCATTCCATGCTCGGACCAAGCATGTTGACGTGAAGCACCATGCCATACGGAGATGACAAAGTAGGAACGAGTTCAAGCTTGTGAAGATTGATACGTGGTACAATCTAGTCGATATGCTGACCAAGTCAGTTCCGCTCGAGAAGGTGAGGCTGTGTGCAGCCTCATATGGCCTTTGTTGAGAATGTTGATGACCGTGCAAGACGCCAAAGATACAAGACATCCGGATGATGCAACCAAGAGTGGTGTGAAGATATGATTGATATTCAATCAAATCTTCAAGTCGGAGATTGTTAACCAGCCATCATTTTTGACCCCAGCAACCTTTGTTGACATTAGGGAATTCGGTGGCCGTTTTTTGAGAAAATTGGAAAAGGTGATGGGTCCCACAAATATTTTATTATTAGTGACGGGTCCCACTAATAATATTTTATTTGTGCATAGTATTTCTGAAACACTATAAATAGGGCCCTAAACTCTTAAGGAAATCTCATCCCAGAAACAACTCCTCTTATAGAAGAGTAAGAGAAAACAAAGAGAGAGTTTGTGAGAGTTCTTGGAGTGTATCTGATCAAGAGAGGGTGTTCTCTTGGATCAATTCTTTTGGGATATAAAAGAATTTGGCGTCGTCGTTGCACCGTGGAGTAGCTCCGAAGGAGTGAACCACGTATATCTGTGAGTACTCTATGTTGAATTTTGTGCCTTTATTTTGTGATTAAGTCTCCGTTCGAGGCGTTATTATTAGGGTGAATCCTAACATGGGACTAACCTGGTATCTGAGCCGGGGTAGCTACTTGAGAAGCAGGTGAAGTAAAAGGCTGTCAAATATAACCAACAAGCTAGTTCTTACGAAATCATAATTTGCTAGTATCTATGTGAATAATTGGCAACAAGTAAAGATTTTCATGACTTACAGTTGTTTGAGCAATGTATGGAGTTGAAGATGTAGTGAATGGTGTGGAGGTAGTAGAAACCGCCGTCAAAGTTGAAGGGGTTGAGGTAAAAGTGCTAGGTGGTGTACTGAATTGTGAGCTTTGAGGCGCTACTATAGATTGAAAAAGTAGACATTGCCCGCACAATGGATGAAGTTGAAGGTGTATTGAATGGTGCGGCGTTTAAAACCCCATTCGAAGTTGAAGAGGTTGAGCTAAAAGAGCTAGATGATGTAGTGAACTGTGAGCTTTGAGGCGCTACGAAAGATTGAAAAAGTGGAGCTGTTGCCTGCACAAAGTATGGAGTTGAAGACGTATCGAATGGCGAGAAGGTGGTCAAAACCCCATTCGAAGTTGAAGAGATTGAGCTAAAAGAGCTAGGCATTATAAAGAATGGTAAGCATGAAACTGAATTGCTCAAGGAAATAAAGCCAGTAGCGAACGGGGTAAGTGTTGGCTTTTCTGAAAGGAATTGCTTCCTTTGGAGAAGGAAAACTAGGAATTTGGTTGGACAATGAATTAGAACTGGTCTGTGCAAAAGGATTAGTTCTGGTCAGTTCTGAAGTTGAGAATGTATGTTTGAAATTGAAAGATGTATTTGCACCGTTCTGTTGAAATGGGGAGAAAGCAGGGGTTTGGTTCGACAATATATTAGAACTGGTCTGTGCTAAAGGATTACTGGTTTGTCCTGAAGTTTGAGAATTTAGATGTGAAGTTGAATGATGGATTTTCATTGTTCTCCGCAAATGATGAGAATCTAGATGTTTGGTTGAAGATGAAGTAGAACTGGTTAGCAAAAAAGCATTACCTTTCTCTGGCGAGGGAAAACTACCAGTAGTTCCATGTTGTCCAGCAGAATTTGGGCCTCCTGACATTGATAATTCAATAAAAATTTAGAAAATCAGTCAAACTGTAATAACAAGGAAAAAAACAGTTATCGTTGAAGATGCGCCAAACGAAGTCAAAACCATGGTTTCCTACCTTTATCTCCGCATTGGTAGTCCAACCATCTAAGCTCCTCATGACTCTTATCTATGTACACAGGCATCATAGATATTGACTGCAGATAAATATTAGGCTGTTTATTGTCTAATCTTCAGTAAGTGTTGATGTATGCTTCGCCATCCTACCACCCCCTTGTTGAACACCAAATGTGAAATTTGTTGTTTGAGAACCTGCAAAAATAAAATATTTACAAATAGTCTTACTTTTAGTTACGAAAGGTAAATGCTTTTATAAAAGGCCCTAGTGAAAGAAAAAAAACTCACCATAGGTGGAGTTCTGGATGCCAAAGTCTCATGACGTAGTTCCAAATCTTTTACTACCAAAAGATGGTGTAGATGAACCAAACGAAGTCGACGATCCAGCTAAAGTAGGGCCAGTCATCGTAAATGATGGAGAAGTTGAAGTTCCAAAGAGAGAGGTACTTTGTGCACCGAAAGCTGGTGTACTTGTCGAAAACCCAAATGATGTTCCAGATGTACCAAATAATGAAGTTGTTGTAGACCCAAATGCTGAAGTATGTAGGATCTGAAATAGATACACTTGAACACTAGAGGGGGGGTGAATAGTGTTCTTTTAAAATTATTGCAAAGTAGATAATAAATTGCAAAGAAAAATGGCAATCTCAGAAATTTGCAAACACAAACACAAGGATTTTATACTGGTTCCACCAATCCGGTGTACATCCAGTCCCCAAGCAAATCCCGCTTGAGAGTTTTCACTATGATTTTGAATAAACTTACAAAATCAAACGCAAACCTGACCAATTTGCAAGTCCCTGCAAATTGCAACACCAATTGACAAACTCCTTGCCAATTTGAACCCTAATCTCTAAGCCAAGAGATTAACCCTCTCACAACCGAGAGAAAACTTGTTGAAGAAGAACACAATGATCCTATAAGCCTTGAATGTGTAATAATGTGCAGCAGTGGCTTAGGATTCTTTTAATCTCTGTAAAATTGCCTAATTGATTTGTTTTTGATGAAGGTATATAGGCAATTTCAGAAACTCTTCTTTTTCAGAAAATCAGAATGTTTTTCACTTGGAAAATTGCTCAAGAATCAAAGCTTATCGGTATGTATATGTCCGAAATTTTTCTTAACACATAACTTATATATAGCCCTTGAAAAGACAAGTTTTTAAAGTTTTAAAAACGTTTAAAAACGGCCAAAAACTGTCAGATATTCAAATTCTGAAAACTGAAAAACTGTCTCTTGTAGTCGACTACTGTAGTCATTAGTCGACTACACTGAGTTCAAACAGACTCTGTGTTTTCAGAAAGTGTTCTCAGTAGTCGACTATAATGCTCATTGGTCGACTACACTGAAATTTGACAGAAACTTGAAAACTGATATTTTCCTTCAGTAGTCGACTACTGTAGTCATTAGTCGACTACACTGTAAAAAGACAGAAACTTATAAATTAGAATTTGAGTTCAGTAGTCGACTATAATGATCATTAGTCGACTATACTGTAAAAATACAGAAACTTATGTTTCTGTCATACACCTCAGTAGTCGACTATAATCTCTATTAGTCGACTATACTGTAAATTGACAGAAACATGTATTTGAGTTCTATACATGAGTAGTCGACTACTATTCTAATTAGTCGACTACTAAGGTCAAAAATTCAGTAAAAAGAAGTTTTTATAATTAAGTTTTAACTACTATTCTAATGGTTAACATAGGGGATTTCTATAGTTCACCAACACACTAAGCCTGTGTTAGTGTGTTCTAAAATTGTGTGTGTGTGCGTGTGTGTGATCAAGGCTTGTACAAATATTCTAAGTAAAGAAAAAAATCAAATACATTATCTTTTGTTCTTCATTTTCTTCACTTCAAAATGCCTTGATATCCACTTGCACTTGTACAGATTCTGATAATGAAATCTGCATATGAAAGTTAGTGCACACACAATATAAATTGTTATCATCAAAACACTATCATGGAGATATGATATTCAACAAGTTTTATCCCTATTTTTTTATTCATCAACTTCCAAAATCACTCATATATTCGTAATACAAAGTAGTGTTTGTTTTCCTTTTTCACAACAATGTCGTGATACTCATGACATTGTCAATTGCATGTTTATTTATTTATTGGCCTACAAACCAAAGTCTTAGCGCTCATGCTCACTTCACTAAATTTTTTTTTCTATAAACCCAAAATACTTCATTGTACTATATTTATAATTGTAGTACACCCTGATTAACTCAAAATAAACTTTTGTTTTGTTTTTTTTCCTCTAAGCCTAAAGTTTTTCTCCATTGATTTCTGAATACACCCACATTCAAAGTTTTGATTCTTATATCTATAAACTCAAAGTTGTACCACACTTACTTTCAAACTCACCCATTTTTAAAGTTTTGTTAAGGGTTTTTGTCTACAAATCTGAAGTTTTACCTTATTTGTTTTTATAACTACCACTTCTGACGACACTCTTAAACTTGAAATACAAAATGGAGATATTTTTTGCCTTTTTTAACATTAATATTGTAACATGCAATGACTCCTCTCACACACGAGCTCTCTACTACAGGGCCACCTCTCCCTTCCAATCCCCAATTTATGCAGACTAGATCAAAGTCGGGAATTGTGAAACCGCATCATATATTGTCCTTCAATACAACACTTATCTAAACCAGTAAATTTCACACAAGCTTCCAAAGACATAAATTGGCAACACACAATGGTAGAAGAATTTAATGCAATCATCAAGAATAACATGTGACAATTGGTTTCGTATGATGAACGGAAAAATTTGGTTGGTTGTAAGTGGGTTTATAAGGTTAAATATAATTCAGATGGCTCTATTGAGTGGTACAAAACTCATTAAGTCTTTCATTAGCAAGCCTGTATTAATTTTCATGATACTTTTAGCCTTGTTGTCAAACCCACTACTATTCATCTTGTGCCCTCTTTGGGTATTTCATTTGGTTGGGTTATCCATCAACTCGATGTTAAGAATGCTTTTCTGCATTGTCTTCTTACCTTGGAGGTGTACATGAAACGACCTCCTAGTTTTGTTCATCAGTAGTTTCCAAACAATGTTTGCAAACTTAATAAGACGATTTATTGTCTCAAACAGGCTCCTCGTGCTTGGATTCATCGCTTTAGCAATTTCCTTCTATCCCTTGGTTTTCATTGCAACAAAACTGATTTCCTCCATGTTCGTTCATCGTCGAGGTTTTGATATTATTATCCTTCTTTTATAGGTTGACGATATTTCTCTTACAGGAAACTCATCTACTCTCATTCAATGCTTTATTTGCATATTATCTAATTAATTTGCTATGAAGGATCTTGGTTATATTCATTATTTTTTTTTTTGGTGTTCAAGTCACTCATACACCTGATATTCTATTTTATCTCAACATAAATATGTTCAGGACCTCTTATGTATTCTTCATACTCTTACTCCTCTACGCACCCTCATTGCAGCTAAAACTAATTTATCTCTTACTGATGGTGAGTTATTAGCAAATCCCTTTGTATATAGGAGCATGGTCGGTACTTTATAACATCTTACAATTACAAGGCTTGAGATTGCATTTGGTTTTCATGTTGTTTCTCAGTATATGCATGCTCCTTGTACCACTCATCTCCTTGCAGTCAAAAAACTTACAGGTACTTGCAAAACACCACCAATCATGGTCTCTCATTTAGCAAGGCCATCAGACAAACTCTTGTGGTTGCATATTCTAATGCTGATTGGGCAGGTTGCCCTGACAGCTTCCATTCCACCTCTGTTTATATGATATTTTTTGTCCTAATCTCATTTCTTGGCGCTCAAAAAAGCAACCTATCGTGTCAAAATCCTCGACGAAGGCTGAATATCGCGCCCTTGCATACACAATGGCTAAGACTCTATGGATTTGGCCCATCTTAGTCGAACTTGGGATTGTTCTTCGCCATCCTGTTACTCTTTCTTGTGATAATACTAGTGTCACCTACATCATGGCAAATCCTATTCTACATGATTGTAGCAAGCATACCAAGGTTGAGTATCACATTTTTGTGGGAGTTGTTCGTGGTGATTTGGTAGTTCAATATGTTCCCAAACAGCTTCAGCTTGCGGATATATTACTAAGGGATTATCTGCTCGATGCTTTACTTTTTTTAAAAACGAATCT